ACCTCACACCCCAGAGTCTCAAGTTGGGCCCCCAGAACATTAGGCATAAATGTCGCGGAAAAAGTCACCCACGCATTGATTTTAGTTCACAGACTCAAGCCTGAGGCCAGTTTATTGCAATACGTACCAACGCGTTGGGGTAGCAGTCCCAAAACTACCACCCCTAGCACAGCACGCACGCTACTTTTATTCTTACAAACCGCAAGCGTAGTACAAATTATACGTCATTTGTGTGAAGTAAGAGTTGGGGTCTGTACCTTTTTCCCGATACCTCCATCAATTTACGAGAATTGGGTGCATATTGGGGGAGGGCTTCTTGGTGGTTTCCGACATGGGCAGTACTTGGCACCAGTTGGGGTGTTTTTCTCGGCAGGGTTCTTATTGTTTTTCCGGGTTTTACGGTTATAGGGCATAGGGGGTTATCACAGGACGCCCAAAGAAGATATATGATTGGCTAGCTTTGCAGTTAGCTGGAATTACGGGAGAAGTTGGCTTTTTGCTAGAAGTGATTTCTTCATGTAAGCGGTTATTATGTTTCATAAACAAGCGGTTATTATGTTACTGAGGCCTTCCGCATTGCTCCTTCTCCCTCCCTCCTCTGATCATAACCCTTGACCGAATTTGGCAGGGAATTGTACAACTTATTCTTGTTCAGGCTTTGCCCTGTAAAAGGCCTTCACAAGGGTCAGTATACTGAGCCTCTGTCAGAAGGCCTAAGTTCGGGCCTTCTGCGTTGCTTTGAGTGACATAAAGGAGGCCACCCAGGCCTATTTCTCCACATAAGCAAACCAAACTTTCATGGGTGGTCACTATTAAGTGACTTGCCCAGCATCACAGAGGAACTCTGTGGCAGAGGCAGGGATAGAATCCAGTTTTCCAGGGCAGCATTCAACTGCCTTCCTCACAAGATGATCATTTCTCTGCCAGCCCTGCCTCATTCATGGCACACCTTCCACTTCTGCAACAATTGAGGCAGGTCCTACAGACAACACCCTCCTTCACTGCACACCCCTGATGCCTCCTCAGAGCAAGTCTGTCCTGAACAAGGCAGGGAACATAGAGTTCACAGCTCCTAAGCTCAGCCACCCATGTCTCTTTGCTGAGACTGCCAAATGGTGTGATTTCATAGAATATCAGGGTTGGAAGGGACCTCAGGAGGTCATCTAGTCCAACCCCCTGCTCAAAGCAGGGCCAATCCCCAAACAGATTTTTACCCCAGTTCCCTAAACAGCCCTCTCAAGGATTGAACTCACAACCCTGGGTTTAGCAGGCCAATGCTCAAACCACCGAGCTATCCCTCCCCCCGGTCAGCATGGTCTTGCACACACGTCACTGAGGAGCCATGAGGCAGGACCAAGTCCGGCGCAGTGCAGATGGAAGATCAGGGATGTGCTCACTTACCTGGGGGTCCGGGGGTGCCTGTCTCGCCTCGTTCACCCTTTTGTCCTGGGGCACCCTGGTAGCCTGACAAACGAAAGCACCGGCATTAGTCTAACACTGCTCAGGCAATGGTGAAGTTGGAGGAGAGAGGCCGGAACCACAGTAGCTTTTAACTGCACCAGCCACATGCACAGGGCGAAGGGTGGCTTGCCTGGAGTAAATGCAGGCAAATGCTGATGGTAAGTGCGCTTGAACACCGGAAGGCAGCACACACCCGCACAAACAGCTCCCAGCAGAGGTGTGGGGGACTGCACAGCCCCTGCCTCGCGGGGTGACACTACTTGGCCATATGCTAAAGCAACCATGCTGCACATTTCTACTGGCCAGCAAGAGATATGAAAACAAAATAGTCCCCTCCTGAGCTCTGGAAGAGGCAGAGTGGTTCACATGTACAGTCAACTCCCCAGGCAGCGAGAGACACAACTGGGCAATGGAGTCAAAGAACAGAGCTCTGGTGGGGTCCAAGTGCTAATGCAGAAGACACACATGCTGGAAATGGGCTTCCTAGCTTCTTCCCGCCCAAACCAGAAGGTAATGGCAGGATCTCTCACCCCACAAGAGCCATAGCCCTCCACTGGGAGCCAGCAGCAACAATCTGCATCTAACTAGCATTATCCCTAACAGTGAGCAAGGGTGTGCTAGGCAGCTCCCCAGCCAGACCGACCATGGGCAGGAGCTTACCAAGTCATGTTAGTCAGGCCCTACTGGGCGGGTAAGATGCCATAGCCAGGGGAGAGATACAGCCATCAGATCCTGGGTTACTCAGGAAGTAGGGTTTGTGGAAAACTTTCCATCAAAACTGTTTTCGATGGAAACCTGGGTTTCTGAGGTCATGAAAGCTTTTGCAGAAAGTGTCTGCATGCCATGGAAAATGTCAACTTCTCATCAAAACCCCCAAATGCATGAAAACTGGCATCTGAAATATTTCAACTTGGATATTTCAGTTTCATCTCTTCACTGAAAAGCTGAAATTTCCATTATAATGAAGGATTTGTTCCTCTTTGTAGGACCAGCTCCGTTCCTTGCCCAGCCTAATCAGTGAAGGTTACAGCATGGCACAACACAGTAACGAAGGATTATCCCATTATCCCGTAGCCAGCGTAGACTTCCCATAGCACCCAGCACTGTAGAATCCAGGACAAGGGTAGCCAGGCATTACAAACAAGCCCCCGGTTTGTATGTCTCCTGCTTGGGGCTTTCTAAAACCCCACCCTTCCTCACGGCCATGCTAAGATCTCCAAAGCCGTTCAGGGCCGCACCATCACAAAAGGTTCATTGGAAAAGCTCTGATTTCCTTCCCCCGTTGCTGCAGAAAGCGCCAGCACAAGCATCATCCTTACCAGGCAATCCTGGAGGGCCGGGAGGGCCCGACTCACTAAATGCCTGAAAAGACAGAAATAGCATCGCTTTAAAACAAAGCGCACTTCCCAGGCATTCTGCCCCGCTGCCCCAGGGCTGGCACGTTCTACAGCCAAGGTCTCCCCAATGATGCGATGTTAGACCACGTGCGAAGCATGTGCACAGAACCTCCCCTCTTGCTGGGACTCTCCCTGCCAGCAAGCAGCGCTCACTGGTTCCTCTGCGTTTCCCAATGCAGACGTGCTGTGACGCTAACCATCCACCTCATTAGCGAGCGCCATGATCGCTGGGAGTGGGCACAAGGCCACATGCTCCATCCGATAAAGTCCAAGATCCTGCCACCTGCACAGTCCCACACACTGCGCGCAGTCCTGGTGAAGTCAGTGGGCTGTGGGGCTGCCTAGTGTGTGGGGGTCAGAATCTGGGCCTAGATTTCACTGTTGGATTTCAGAACAGGGTTGGGTATTTGCTTACTCTGGGTTTAGGACTGCATGGTGCCTGCAAGGCTAAATCAATGACAGACTGGCATGAACGGGCACTGCCCAGCCCCGCACAGCCCCTGACCAACCCAACCCTGGGGAAGGCTTTGCTCAGCCGCTAAAGGGGATGGCAGGCTCCATGCTCCCATCACCCTGTTGCTGGGCAGGCATGGGGGGTGCGTGGCTGGTCCTGGTTTCTAGGTGGATTTATCCTGAAGTTGTTGAGCAAGACAGAGAAATAAATGGGAGCTCCTGGGCCCCAGGACATGCAACTCACTGCTGTGGGGAGCTGGGCGCGGCACCGTCCGCACAGTGCTTTGGGAAAGAGGCTCTTTCTCCGGCTGGACGATAACGCGAGACAAGCTAGCTATCGGGCATGTGTGCAGCACGCGCTCAGACTGTCACCCTTCAACAGCTCCGAGCGCACTGCCCGTTAGCCACCCTTCCCAGCTGTGCTCATGGGATAAGTGCTCCTGGACATGCCCGCCTGGTGAAAGCACCCCTCTGTGCCCATCCGCGTGGGTACCACCAAGCAAATAGGGGGCGGTAAACAGCGGGAACTCTTTTCATGGCCCTGGCCATTATGTGACCCCTACCCCAGAGCATGGCGTGATGACGTGCCAGGACTGTTACTTACGTTATTGTCGTAGACGGACACTACACTGCCAGGGGCGCCTGGGGGTCCCGGGGGACCTGGGGGACCCTGCAGAGAGAGGAAAGAGTTCACTGGGTTTCATAGAATCATAGAATCTCAGGGTTGGAAGGGACCTCAGGAGGTCATCTAGTCCAACCCCCTGTTCAAAGCAGGGCCAACCCCAACTAAATCATCCCAGCCAGGGCTTTGTCAAGCCTGACCTTAAAAACCTCTAAGGAAGGAGATTCCACCACCTCCCTAGGTAACCCATTCCAGTGCTTCACCACCCTCCTAGTGAAATAGTTTTCCCTAATATCCAACCTAAACCTCCCCCACTGCAACTTGAGACCATTACTCCTTGTTCTGTCATCTGGTACCACTGAGAACAGTCTAGATCCATCTTCTTTGGAAACTCTTTTCAGGTAGTTGAAAGCAGCTATCAAATCCACCTCATTCTTCTCTTCTGCAGACTAAACAATCCCAGTTCCCTCAGCCTCTCCTCATAAGTCATGTACTCCACGCCCCCTAATCATCTTTGTCGCCCTCCGATGGACTCCTTCCAATTTTTCCACATTCTTCTTGTAATGTGGGGCCTAAAACTGG